TTTTTTTATGAAGCTTTAAATCCCTTTTGATTCACCAAATGGTGTATACCTCCAGTGCGCTCTTTGTTTTTCCCAACCAGCTCCCTATCACTTTATTCCTTGTCAAATTCAACAAGAACCATTTGGCCAATGCAATCTATTTTTAATAATCCCAACTGAGTATATCACCTCCGTTGTGGAGAACTCTACTAATAGGTGTTCTGAATTGTGTCACGTGGGATGTCTGCGCAACTGTGCAAAATGAAATGGCCGAACGGGGCGCATAATATAATAAGGTTACAATATTTTATGGCGCGAATTTGGTGAGACGGTAAATGTGTAGACAGCTCACCGTGCAGGTGTTACATATGGGAGAAAAGAAAAAAAAAACATCATCTTAACCCTGTGGACACAAACTGTTCGCGAAAAATGCACATGCATTTGGCTGCGCGTTTTTCTCGCCCACAGCGGTTGTTTTTTCCCTATGTGAATGTGGGAGGCAAATATTAAAAAGCCTTCCACACCAAAAAAAAAAAAATCACGCGGGTACAAAGACAACTATATATATATATATATATATATATATATATATATATATATATATATATATATATACACGCACACGTGTGTGTGTGCGCATGATGGCGGGTACTTCACATACACCCAAATGGGTTTTACATAATGTCAAAGTAAACGAGCCGGTTGAGTTTGCTCAGCTTGGCGTAAATTTGCGACGAGTGCTTCCTGTTTTTTTTTTTCAGCAGTGTGATATTTTTCCGGATAAGAACAGCATGGTCAGTAATCATGATGAGAAAGTCGTTGTCATTTTTCTTTGTCATGTCATACAATTTAAAGCCTAGGAATTCGTCCGGGTTTGTTGTTTGCGGGGATGTTTGATCCGTATCCCCTTTGCTCATGTGGGGGGAGGGTGCCTGACTGTCTTTTTCCACGTCATCCTCCTTTCCCACTTGTGCCTGTTCGTCCTGCATAACCGCAGCCTTTTTGGCTCGCTTAAACTTCATAATTTTGTACCCTTTTCCCTTTTTCTTCTGCACTTTGAGTTCCTCCAAGTTGATCATTTTTCCATGCCCACCTTTGGAAAGAAATATGATTTGAAAATTCTTCACATTTTTTTCATCGTTCTCATACGCCAAGAGATCCACAACTTTGTCGTTTTTGCACAAATTGATACACTTGTTCCCTAAAGAATTTTTTTTCGATATTTTAAAATTGAAGAGAGGGAATTGAATTATGTGTCCACTAGCCGTTCCAACAATGCAGTTGTCAGTAAAATTGCAGTAGCTGAAATGGATATCTTTTTTGTTTTTAAAAAGTCTGATTCCTTTTTTTTTTTTTTTTAAAAAGACATCATTGTTTATAACTTTCATTTTTCCATTTTCACTGCACACGATGAGGTATTTTTTGTTTTCCTCAAACTTGGTCATCCCGGTGATACTCTTTGAACAGTGGATCACTTGATTGATTGGCGTCCCCTTGGAGTCGTAGGACGAAGTTTGCAAATCACACACGTTCAGGATGTAAGCTTTGTTCTGGCTATCCGTTAGCAGCAGTTTATCTTTGTTTCTGCACAAAATGCTTTTCTTTACTTTGTAGCAGTTGGTTGAGTTGGCAGTGGTAGACTTAGTAGTGGAGGTTTCTTCCCCCCCATTTAGGGTTACGTCGGATGCTTCCCCTGGTGTGGCTCCACCCTTCAGGCGCTTCTCCTCATTCTCCTTCAAAATGTACTTCACATTGGACAACTTGATAATATTGTTCTGGTGATTTTTCAACTTCTCTGCAATTTTTATCTTCTTGACATACCCTCCGTAGGTGATTAGGACAAGCACATGATCGTTGTTATAAACATTTTTTACGTCCGTGTGTATGGAGTCGATGTAGGTATGCCTGTAGTTTGCCAAGGGGTCTGTCTTTTTCGTTCCCTTTTGCATGCCTTCCACGAGGGGTGCGGCCTCTACGTCATACACTCTTCTTTGTTTCTTCCCCTTGGGCACTTCATCCAAATCTGCGTCGTTTTGCAAAATTTCGCTTTCTTGTTTTGACTCCTGCACATCCCCTCCATTCTCAGATGGGTCATCGCTCTGGGGGGTAGCTTGTGGCATGAAGTGTTCCTTAAAATGTTGGCTTCGCGCTGGTGGGTTTATATAAACGTACTTATACTTAACACTCTGAGGGGGTGCGAATTTTGCTACGCTGCTGGTACCATATTTATTTTTTATATAGACCAGTTGGTCAATGATAAGGCGCTTTATTTTATTCACATTGGCGATGAGGTCTCGGTTCTCCTGCATGCGAGCCAAAATATTTTCCTTGTGAGTGGCAAAATCAACATTCTTAATGTTAACCAGTTTTTGTATCTTCATAGAAAGGATATGCTGAATCTGATAATCATTAAGTTGGAAATTTTTTTTAAAAAAATTTTTTATTTCTTCAATGTTTTGGTTTTTTTGGAGAAAGGAAATAATTTCGAGAATTTTTTTTTGTATGAGTATGTACAGCTCTATAATGTGAAGTTGTTTTAGTAAGTTTTGATTTTTTATGGTCAAATTATTTCTGATAAATTTTATGCGATTTTCGCACCACAGTTGAAGGAAGGACTTTAATGAAAATTGCGTGTAACTATTTTCATGACCAATGCACACAAAATTGCAGTGGTATGTAACTTGCATTTGTGTGTACTTAAAAATGAAGGACACAAAATCATTTATTTGTTCCACTTGGCTGTTTTTTCTCAACTCCAGTACAATTCGCATATCTTCCTTTTCACTTTCGTCTCTTATTTTTTGTAAAATATTTTCATGTTCATTTTTTTTTTCATTCAAAATGTTAATCATATTTTCGATCAGTTCATTTGGCTTCACATTTGGGGGTAAATTTTTTATTACTAACTTTTTACTTCCCCTGGTGTCTAAATCTTCTGAATTTAAATTAGCCAAGTGATTTACATGGGTGACGTAAGCTTTGTCATTTTTCGTGTACTCCAAAAACACGTTGCTTCTAATTTCGATGTTTCCCTTTCCTGTTTGATATACATTTTGTAATTCATTCGGTTTGCTTATAATAATTCCTCCAGTGGAAAAGTCGGGCCCTTTTATTATAGCGGCTAATTGATCTTCCTTAATACTTGGGTCGAGTAAAAAGCTAATGGTGCAGTTGATCACATCTACTAAGTTGTGGCAGGGGATATTACTCAATATACTCACTGCAATTCCGGAGCATCCATTAATGAGTAGGAGTGGGACTTTGCTACACAACACCTTGGGCTCTACTTCATTACCATCAAAATTTCTCACGTACTCTATGTTCTCATCATTTATTTCTTCCAAAAGTATATCGTAACAAAAGTTTGAAACTTTAGCTTCTGTATAACGCATAGCCGCTGCATTGTATTCCACTGACCCGAAGTTCCCGTACCCATTGATTAGCAAATTGCTATTGTGATGCCTTTGTGCTAATCGAACCAACGCATCGTACACACTTTTATCTCCATGTGGGTGATACTTGCCAATAACCTCTCCCACAATTCTGGCGCACTTTTTATAACTGCTCTTTTCAGCGCCTTTATTTATTTCGTACATGCTCCATATGATCCTCCTCTGCACTGTTTTTAGACCATCGCGATAATCACATAGACACCTGTTTAGGATTAAAAAGTTGGCATAAGACAGAAAGTTTTTTGACAACAGTTCGCAAATTTCTACGTCGTAATATTCGCCCTTTATTCTTTTTATGCTTTCGTCCACTTGGTCTTTTATCCCTTTCATGTTGCCACCTCCTGCAGAGCTACTTCTCTTCGTTTTGTCCATCCGCGTGGGGGATTCTTCACTTGAATCGTTGCTCACAGTTGATGTTGGCCCCCCCTTCGATTCGACCGTCTCTCCATCTGCCTTCCCCTGGGCGCTGCCCTTCCTCGCGAGCAGCAGGGATGGCCTCACGCACGTGCGAACATTTTGCCCATCACCACTTCTCCCTGTACTGCTTTTTCTATGGCCGCTCAAAACGCTTCTCCCCTTGATCTCCCCCTTCCTCACCCCCGAATACCCATTGTGTATAAAAAGAGGGGCACTACTTTTGGGGGGGGTCCAAATGGGGACTAATTTCTCCCTTTTCTCACTTCTCACAAAAAAAATACTCAAGTCGCGGACAGGGAAAAACAGTTCTGCTACGAGGACGAAGAAGAGGGAACATATGAACCACATAATAATGCTACGCACCTGAGGGGGTGCGCCGTTGCCTGTCTCTACTTGTGCATAATGCGGTGTGCGACGTCCGCGTAAGACTACCCGTTAAGTGGGGGGGTTGGAAGTGTATGCGGGTGCCAGGCCTCCTCGGACACTGCGCCGACGATCCTACAAAGGTAACATATGCAAGAATACGTATGCATACGTATATGCATATGTACACATGCTCCCTCTTACATTAGGCGCCCTTCCGTGTGATAAACGCATCAGACAAACGTGCGCCTGTAGAAAAGAAGCATGCGCGTTCAAGCCTTCAGCACATTTAAGTTCATTTTTTTTATTTTGCCTTGCTCTTTAAACTTTTTTTTCTTTTTTTATTTTTGCCTTATTTTAATTTGATGAATTGTTCACCCACAAATGTATAACGTTAGAGGCGTGTATCTTTTCTTTTCCTTTTCGCTCCTCTGAACGGGAAAAATGCGCAAAAGTGAGAAAAAGGAAAAATAACAAATGACTAAAGGGCCACAAATGCCCACGCGCCGATGCAACACACTAGCGCAAAAATAGAAGATTATAGTTTGGATAGGTTCTTTCCCTTCGTGCTGGCTGGCACGCTTTTGCGACTCCTCAAGCACGGTGCGTACGGCACCTACGTAGAAAACGTGTACATATTAATATTTACAAGCGTGATGCCATACCAAAAATACAACATTTATATTTTTCATAACATGCGAACTTAAACAGTTGCCTGGGTGCCCTTTTTACACGCTCAACAGGTGTATTGTTTAGCTAATCTTCCTTGCCGCGCGGGGGCAAAAATGAGAAAAAAAGGAATGGACTGGTGCAGGGAAAATTTTCCTTGCAAATTTATTGCCCCTCGGTGGATCTTCCAAAAAAAAAAAAAAAAATATATGAAGCATGCATAAACAGTGTGAAGTAAAAAAATGCGAAAAATGTTCCAAAAAAAAAAAAAATGGGAAAAAAATCCTTTTTTTCAATAACATGTCGGGCGTTATGTATATTTTGCGAAGATGCAGAAATTAAAACATTTCTGTTACTTTTTTGTGATACCTGATTTTTGTTAAAAGCGTTACCCAATAAACGCACAAGTTAATGAGCGAATGTTGACGCCATATCGCTTTTTCATGTGACCAATCCATAGTTTTTACTGTTTGGATGCAAATGCGCAAACATGTTTAAATAAAATAAACATAATAATATGTTTATTTCTTTCCGATCATATGTAAGCGCATAATACTGTTCCTCTTTTTTTTTTTTTTTTTTTTTTTTTTTCCTTTTCCTTGTCACATATTTGTGAATACGGATATAATATATAACCGCTCTGGAGGAAGGCGGCTTATAAATGACCGAGTTGAGGAACGCCTGCAGAAGATACAAACATACTAGAAAAAACGAGGCCATTGAAAACTCAAACTGGTTTTGATTCTCTCTCATGTGTCAACTGGGAGATTTTTCTTTCCAACCACGAATTGTTAAGAGGATCACGTGGTCGCCCATTTTTCGCTGCCCCTGTTGAAGATTCGTCCCCGCTTCCCCTACATTAGGGAAAATTGCAGAACAGAAATATTTGATATATTTTTGTCGGCGAGGAAAACATATTCAGTGGTACACGTGCGCAGCGCGAAGTGAGAATAGGTCATCCCCTTTTTTTGGAGCCTCCCAACCGTTTAACATGATGAATAGCAGGGCAGGTTATTTCCCCCTGTTATTTTAGTACGCCTATTTGTGAGACAACCGACAGGTGGGAAGCATACGCCAAGAGGGGGAGTGGCATAAGGCACGCGGCAGAAGAGACTCAACGGAAGTGACGCGGTTAGAAAGCTTATTCCCTTGAATCGGCACCCCAGACGAGGCCTCCGCATTTCCCGCCATAAGAGCATACGCCAGCAACGCGGAGTCGAACGTGGACGAACAGCTCCGTACGCAAAGGCATATCAGCAACGCAGAAGCTTAACGGCTCAGTGACTTCCCGTCCTAGGGCTTCGTATCATCCCTGAAGAACCCCCTACATGAAGGCAAGATGGTGGACGACGAGGAGCTGAAGAGGCTGCGGTTCATTCTGAGCAAAAAGGTGGGGAGAATAAAATACTTTTTTTCGTACACATTATACAAATTATTCAGCCATTTTTATAACAAGAAAAATAAAAAGCGAGAAAGGTTTGTAAATATACACGGAAGAACGAGCCCAAAATTTTTTTGTGACAACAAAATTAGGAGCACAAAGTACACAGTGCTCTCATTTATTCCTCTCTTTTTATTTTACCAGTTCTCGGATTTTTTGAATTTATTTTATTTGTGTGTTTCTTTGCTACAAATCATTCCAATATTCAACACGGGTTATGTGTTCACCTTTGTGGCTCCATTAGTGTTCATCCTCTTTGTAAGTTTAATAAATGAAGTGGTTGACGATTTGAAGAGGTTTATAAAGGATCTTGAGAATAACAACGAAATTTATTACACCCTTTTGGAAAACGGCAATTTCGAAAAAATATACTCGAAGGATATAAAAGTAGGAGATATTATTTTGATAAAATCCAAGCAGAGAGCTCCAGCGGACTGTATTTTGTTACGTAATTTAAGTAAAAATGAAGAATATAATTTTAAAGTAGAGAAGAAGAAATTTTTCGGCAGCTTAAAATGGAATAAAAACACCAACGTGTACAACAAAATTAACAAAAACTACTACCATTTTAATAAAAATATTGATAACGAACTGATTGATGATCGATGTAACGAATCAAATAACAACTTGAGTGAAACGAGCAATCATCTTCTCTTTAGTGAAAATGAAAAATCACTAAATGGAGGAAAAGAGAAAAAATATGTTTTAAAAGACAAGTCCGAGAAAAGTGGCCATAAAAATGATATGAACGATTCAGGCGAATTAGGTCATTTTGAAAAGAAAAAAAAAAAGAAGAAGAAGAAGAAAAAGAAATTAAAAAATAAATATATAAAAAACACAGACGCAGGTGAATCGAACGAAACGGCCAATTATACATACGTCAAAACGGACAAAATTGATGGAGAAACGGACTGGAAAATTAAGTACCCAATAAGTATCTTCCAAAATTTAAAAAAGTTGAAAGATTTCTTCTCCATAGACATTTTGTTCATCCTGGAACAGCCCAAAAATGATATTTACAAAATTGAGGGGTCTTTCGTTATATTCAAGTACAACCCGAATGGTGATTTCCAGAAGGAGGAGAACAACAACACGCTCGGAATGAACGACCACCAGATGATGAATTATCCGTTCGACATGATCAAAGACGGAGAGATTGACTTGGAGCACGGTGGTCGCGGCGGATTGGCCAAGGGGGGCGAACCCGGCGCGCCGCCACATGAAGAGGAGGACGACGATGATGACGATGATGAAGATGACGATGAAGATGACGAGGATGATGATGAGGAGGACGACGATGATGATTATGAAGAGGAGGACGAGAAGAAGGACCACGGAGAGAATGAACGTCGAAAAGAACTCGAATTGGAAAACGTTGCCAACGACCAAGAACAAGAAATCCATCATAAGGGCTATGTAAATTTAGCGGAAAATGACACAAACTACGTGTATAGCACTAACAAGAAGGAAAAAAAGAAGAACCAAGAAGTGGTGAAGTTTACTGACGTGGAAAAGGGAGCAGCTGGAGCAGCAGGATCAGGTGTTGCTATGTCAGATCGAAACAGAGGAGTCATGGAAAACTATAACTGCTCAAAAAATAATGGAACAAATAATGGAAATTATGTTAGCGAAACTAGCATGTGTAGTGTATTTAATAATGAAGATAATTTCAATTTTTATAATGTCCATTATAGAAAAAAATTAACATACGACAATTTTATTTTGTTCAACTCTGTGATTACGAGTTCGGATGTGCTTTGTTTGGTGATTTACACTGGAAGTGATACCAGAGTGAATATGAGTACACAGATTAGCAAAATCAAAAGAGGAATGATAGACAATAAATTGAATGTGATAACGTTATTTTTGTTTCTCATTTTGGCGTTGTTTTCCATGTACATGTGTTCCGTAAAGTTGAATAATTTGTGGTACTTGAATTTTGTTCGTTTCGTTTTGCTCTTCTCTTCGGTTATCCCCATATCGTTAAGTGTCAATTTAAATATCGCTAAAATATACTACACATTGGTGATTCAGAAGGACAAGGAAATCGAAACGACGATCATAAAGAACAGTGCAATTATTGAAAACTTTGGTGATGTCGATTATATATTCACAGACAAGACAGGAACACTAACAGAAAATGTAATGGTCCTCAAAGTTATACATATAGGCTTGGACGTCATTCATGCGGAAAATGAGAAGAATAATATGTTACAGGGAAGTATGGAAAATAAAGGGAAAGGAAATTTCAACAAACATATGCTATCGTATGACATGGATGGCTTAAACGAAGATGTGGATGCTTCTTCCATGTACTTAGGATCGAACTACTCTAAAAACGATCGAAGGAATAAACACAATGGAAACAAAAGTGGAAATTACATGTCCTTTAATTACGACATGGAGAATGGAAGAAATAAAAATGAACTTTCAACCTTGAGACAACTGGGCAAAACAGTGAACCCAATGGATCGCATCAATATGTTACACGATGAGGAAAACATTGATGAAGAAAATTTGGACTATGATAATTTTGATTATGGAAATTTTAATGAACATTCCACAGGGTCCAAGTCAGGGTTTTCTCAAGGCAGCTATCGAAATGTAAATATGAAATCGTTCAAGCAGAACAGCTTGGCTCTGAGTACGAATGTGTCAGCGGGACCTTGGGGTCAGAGACGAAACGACATGCATAAGAAGAATTCAGTGCACATGGAGAAGAAGAATAAAGTCGAGCAAATGGTGGACGAATTTTTAAAGTACAAGTCGGACCCTCTAGATTATTACAATGACAATGTGGAGGATGTAGAGTTTTTAAAGAAGCACCGAGTGTTCCAGACCTTTTTGTCCTTCCTCATATGTAACAATATTAGGACTCTGGCCAAGGAGAGCAGCAACACGGGTGGTGCTGGTGCAGCAAGTGCAAGCGGAGGTGCTAGCGGTAGTGGAAATGGCAATGCAAACGGTGCAGGTACTAAGGAAAAGGACAAGGCAAAGAAGAAAAAAGATCAAAAGGAATCAGACACTCAGAAAAATTTTTATTATATATTAAAAGTGAATCGAAAGAATAAAAAGGAAAATAAAACGAAGAAAGAAAAGCATATGGATAGTACCAGTACAGCTTTTTCTTATGACAAGAAAAATGTCGAATCTAACAGCTCCGAAGATTCTGAAACTTTCTCCCACTCGGATGTCAGTTATCAATGTTCCTCTCCAGACGAGTTGGCCTTCCTCAAATATGCTACCAACTGTGGGTTCATTTTGAAGAAGAAAACTGCTAGCAGGATAGAAATAAACTATAAAAATCTTGTCATGGAGTACGACATTTTGCTACACATTCCATTCTCTTCGGAGACCAAGCGAATGAGTGTTTTCGTGCGCAACGTGAAGAACAGGAACATTTATTTCTTTATTAAAGGGGCGGATAATATATTAATAAAGAAGTGTCATGAGAAGTATAAAACATTCATTTATGAGGAGAGTGACCACCTGTCGAACTTGGGTCTGCGTGTCCTTGTGCATGGCTTTTTAAACATAGAGGAGCAGTTCTTCCATACCTTCTCCAATTTATACAACAAGAATAAGGACGTCAAGGGGCAGCTCGAGAATATTTTGGACTACGTCGAGAAAAACATTAAAGTTCTGGCCATAACGGGTGTGGAGGACAAGTTGCAGGAGGTGAGTTGAGCTGAGCAGTAGTCTATGCCGGCGTCGGCTGGCAGGTTGCCTGTCGCATGTGTTATGACTATAACGTTCTGTTGACTTTATTTTATGTTCCCCATTCGTTATCGCCCCCTCTACACGCATATATGTATATAGGCACGCATGCACACACATATATACACGTATGCAAATGTTCACTCTTGCAGGGTGTCGGAAAGACCATCGAGATGTTGTACAACAGTGGCATCAAGGTGTGGGTGCTGACAGGAGACAAAATCGAAACAGCCATTTGCATTTGCAAGAATGCTAACATTAAAAAGAAGAAGCATAACATATACATTTTCAGGCACGAAAATATTAAGAGTACATCAAACCTTATACGAGACTTTAACTCCATCTTAAGCAATATCGATTCGTATGTCCTCTTCTTTGATAATATTATAATTCAGAACTGCATCAAGTACATTCCTAATGCCTTCGTCGATTTCGCGGCGAACGCAAGGGCAGTGGTAGGCCATATATGCACACATATATATATGTGTATAATCCTGTGTGTCGCTATGACACCGATTGATTTGTGCACTTTGCTCTTTTTTCCACTCCACTGCTTTCATTTTTTTCTCACGCGTATTTTTTGTCTCGCCCTGTTCCATAGGTCTGCTGCAGGTGCAGTCCCATTGAGAAGAAAGAAATAGCGGTCCTGATCAAAACCATTAAGAGGAAGAAAATTTTGTGTATCGGGGATGGAGGAAATGACGTAGCAATGATCCAGTCAGCGGATATTGGAATTGGTGTCTTGGGAAAAGAAGGAAAACAAGTTGTGAACGACAGTGATATAATTGTTTCGAAATTTAAAAATATAAAGAAGCTCATTTTGTATTATGGAAACAACACGTTTTTGCAGACCTCATCCCTCTGCTCTTTCCTCATTCACAGAGGATTCGTGCTCACCTACCTGCAATTTATTTACAGCTACATTTTTTTCAGCATACCGGTGTCGATCTTTCAGGTGAGTTTTACGCTGGAGATGTTTACCCCGATCGCATTTTTCCCACCGCTTTTTTTCCCATCACATTTTTCTCATCTCAATTTTCCTATAACGTTTTTTCCCCGCAGGGATGGTTGCAAATTGGCTACACCACATATTACACGACGGCGCCATTCCTGTCGCTGCTGTTGGACGTGAAGATAAAAAAAAATTTGATATACCTCTACCCCGAGATATACAAAAATAAGAAGCACAAGCGGAAGCTCGATTTGAAGTCCTTCTTCATCATCTTGTGGATCTCCATTTTTCAGGTATGTACCAAGAGGCGTTTCCCAGCGAGTGTGAAAAATGCGTGCGCGTAGAAAAATTAATGGCCGAGTTGACCACTCCACTAGGGCATTAGAAATGGGAAGAATTCTTCCACGTGCCATGTAACCATTGCCTATGGAGGCATGCCACACGTTCATCATCCCTGTTCTACATCGCTCTTCACCACCTCCTTCCACCTGCAGGGAACCGTCGTCATGCTTGGGGCACTGAAGCTGTTCAACGACAATTACAATAACCTCATTAACATATCCTTTTCGTCTCTCATCCTGTTGGAGATAATGAACATTCACTTGGAGGTCGAGTCATGGTAAGTGGCCGGGCCACAGTTGACTGCGCACGTACATATATGTACGCATACGTATGCACACATGCGCGTGTATATATATATATATGTGCGTGCACACTTATGTGGTGAACCGTTCCTCCTCCCCTGCAGGCACCCGCTGATGATATCAGCCAACATATGCTCCTTCATCGTGTACATCTTTTCGATGTTCATTTTGAGGAATTATTTTGATATCATGCAAATTATGTCCGTTATGTTTTGGTACAAGGTTATTTTGATCGTGTTGTTTGCCTGGCTGCCGTTCTTCATAATTAAAAAGGTAAAGAATATTTTAACGCCCTCCCAGTTTTTCAAGCTCGCGTGAGGTGAACACAGAAGCGGCCACTTTTTTTAGAGTTACGAAGTTTAGCAAATTACACACGCGGTACAAAAGGGTTGTCAAGGTTTTGAAGCCTTCACAGGGGATAGGTACATACAAATTGTGGGCAAAAAAAAAAAAAAAAAAAAAAAAAAAGCGATACAACTCGAGGAAGACTGCGCTTTACAAACAAAACCGAAAGAATATACCTTCCACTTCTTTGCAAGCCTGTAAAATGGACAAGTTGTAAAGGGATTCACGCAACGTTGTGTATGCGCAATGTTGTCACAACGTTTAACGCGTCCATGTTGGAAGGGCTTAGTCGTGGAAAGGCCCAGTGTTGCACAGACAATCAGAACCATTTGCAAAAGCCCCAATTTCTGTGCATTTTTTTTGAAAACGATGGGGAAAAAAAAATAAAGAAAAGGCGAAGAAGACAAGTTTGGAATGTACTTACCGTAATTAAGTCGTTGGATGGACATCCCAAGTAGGAGCTGAAGGCCTTGATGAGCAGGCACATCATTGTGCTGAGGTGCTCTGTAGAATGGGGGGAGTGTAAAAAATGGGGGTGCGATGAAGGTACCCGCAAGTGTGCAACTGCATCGGCGGTTGTGTTAATGTCATTATTACATGTACACATGTGTGTGCACCTTTTTTTTTGCATAATGCATCATATGATTTGCACGCTCTTGCACTTTTTTCTCATTTTTAAAAAGCTCCGCTTGCTGCATGACGTGGGGCAGCACGGCGGCGCAACCTTCTCGATATTTCTTTGCAGGCCGCACGGCGTACAGTGTGTCTGCATGCCGTATTTTTTTTTTTTTTTTCGCTCTCTCTTTTTTTTTCTCTTTTTTTTTTCTCTCCACGCCGAACCTAAGTTCCTTGACAAAGTTTTACAATATAAAGGGATAAACGCATTTGCCGAGTGGTAATTAAAATTTTTTAAGTAAGACGTATTTTGGTGGGTCAGGATAGAGCTGTATCCGGCCTGTAGGGGGGAAAAAGATGAAGGAGGGAAGGGAGCGTTGGATATGCATAACAAATGGGGAGCATTATTGGGGACATGTGTGTGCGGAAGCAATGGTCACAGCTGAAGTGATAACATGCGAATGATCGGTCCGCCTTACCATGATGAACAAATCCACGTCGTTGGGGCAGACGAGCATGTTGTCTCCAACCCAGGGAAAGGAATGCTTATACTTGCTCGAGATGTGTCTCTGCTTGGCATTTTTTATGAACAACTTGTTTCTCTTATAAATTTGCACAACTTTTCTGACCTCCTTATCGTAGGGATAAATATCATTGGAGATTGTATTAACGATTAAATTATTTCCGTTGAACAGTTTGTTCATATGAATATATTTTTTTTTTCTTACATATTTTTTTGTAAATTTTCCCCAAATGTTTTTATACATGGAGCATTTATAATCATACAGAAGGAAATTATTTTTCTTGTCATAAATAGCGTAGGATGTCCGTTTTGCATTTTTATCGTATTCCATTTTTTTGATCAATTTTTTATATACCTTTTTAAGTTTCTTATCATTTTTGGTCATATATTTTGAAATTGCATTTTTGTTCAGAGGAAAAAATAAATTATCATCGATGATTTTTGGATCAGCTGCGGATGGAGTATTGTCATTTTTTATGTCCCTTTTTTTATGTGTTTCCTTTTCCACTTTGTTAATTTCACTCTGCTCATCAAAGATATACACTGGTTTGTGAAGGTAGAATGAGCACACTGTGTAGGAATCCTGGTGCAAATCATTTTCTTCACTCTCGGCATTGCTGTCGTAGTAGTCGTCGGAGAATACAGAAATTGTACTTTCTTCTTCATGGTTAATGTGTTCTTCATTTGTCTCTTCCATGTCTATCACATCCTTTTGTTCTGTTTGTACATTCTCCAACAGGTTTTCGTCCTCCCAATATGGGTTCAGCATGCTCCTTATGTTATCCTCTTCTTCGTGGGCGTCACTTTCCCCGCCACCCAGATGATCGGATTGGCGGTCACTTTGGAGATCATTTTGGGGGTCATTGTCGAGATGATTTTGGAGGTCATTTTGGAGATCGCTTTCACTTCCAGCCCGTTCGCCAGGAAAAGGCGCCTCGGCCCCGCCAGACGAAAAAAGTTCATCATTCAGGCAAAAGAATTCGTCCACCTGCGATCTGCCTTCACTGCCTTCTCTGGGCGTAACTGGAAAGGGGTCACCTCGAGCGGAGTCTAGCACACCTGCTTCTTCTCCCTTGTCCAGCACACCTACTTCTTCCCCCTGGTCGAGGATACCTACTGTTTCCCCCGCCAGCTTCTCCTCCCCCCCTGGACCTGCCAAATAATTATCCCTAAATTTGTCCGTGTAAAAAATGTCGATAAATTCGTTCAAAACACTTTTGTCATAAGGCTCCGAGTAGTAGCTTGTGTGCGTGGAAAATTCTTTGTACACGATGTAATTAAATTCCAAGGGGGTCTTCTTTATGTATTTGCCATATGTGATGGAGTCATTTTTTAAAAGAATTTCGTTATTGAGCGAGTTTAAAATAATGTTGTACAGGTTGATTGTTTCTGAGGGTGTTGAGAAAGGCTGCGCGATTTCCGTGTCCAGGTGTTTGCGCAAGCACTTGTCATATATGCGCTTGGCTCCCTTGGAGGGCATACTCTTTTGGGGGCGACTTGCGCGCTTGAAGCAACGACCTCGTGTGAAGCGATTACCGCCCTTGCCAACCTTGTGGACGCCCATCTTGCGCACACCCATTTGGTTCATGCTCGGGTTGTGGCTCCTACTAAAGAAACTTGCACTTCGGCTCTCGTTCCAACTTGCGCTATGACTCGCGGCGACGCTCATGTTCTGGCTCCAGTTGCGGCTGGCAACACTACCTGCCACGTGGGAACCTCCGTACAGGTCACTCTGGCTGTCGTCCCGCTGACCTTGCTCCACGCAGAGGTTGAACATCTCCAACTGCTGCTCGCTGAGGCAGTCGTTTGTATCTCTATCGTTCGGTGCGGGGATGTTCTGTGTGAGCGTGCTGTCTGCTCTTCCCGCCATTTCAACAATATTTTCCGTTACCGCTTCGCCCTTATGTGTGTCTTTTGCTCTGGAGTGGCCAGACCCTGCCGCTGGTTTAGAAGCCTGTTCCCCCTGCCCAATGACCGAAAGGATATTCGTCTCGTCATCTCCAAACAGGTAGTATTTCATGTTGGACTGATCCTCCGTCTCGATGTGCACAAGTTGCTCGCTGTGGGAACGATCTGGCGGAAGGTCAGCAAAACGTTTGGACACAGATGATGGTCTACTGTCCAACTTCCTCTCCACAAGAATCTGCTGTTGCCGTTGTCTTCGTTTCTTTGCCCCCCGTTCTACTGGCCGCAGTGCAAGGACATTGGGAATGGTGGACAAGAAGTTAAAATTTCGAGCACGTTGCAGGAAACCCTCGCTCTCATTATCTTCATCGTCTTCAATGATGTTTTGTTTGGACAAAATTTCATTCATTTCACTTGAAAAAAACATATCTCTTGAGTCCTGATTCTGTTTCCCCTCGTTTCGCATTGTGTTTTCAAAAAGGGCGATGTTTCGCATTTCACGGCTCCGCTTGGAAAAGGCACCACTGTCCCTACGATTGATCTTTTTAAAAAAATTATTTATTTTATCATCATGGATGTTGTTTTTCTCATCGTCAGCAAATTTGATGGTCGCTTTGATGTAAGTCTCCGTCACAGAATTGTCGAAATGGCTGGAGTTTTTTTTTTTTTTTTTTTTTTTTTTTTTTTTTTTTTTCCATTTATGTTTGAAGTGGTCATTTCGCGTTTGCTTTCCTCCTCATCTGGGGGGAATATTTCTCCTGACTCCATCCGTGACAGGTCAAGGGGGTCTGGGATTTCGCTAAATTGGTTTTGATACAACCCCAACACATCTGGGTCCATCTCTGACGAGTTCTGACCAATCTGAGCTCTGTCCAGCCTCATATCTGCTACGTGTGGGGAGATATGATCCTGCTTATCCCGTTCCTGGTTAACAGCCTTGAAGTCTCTCTTGGTATTCTCCACAGACAACACTGTGTGAAGCGTGTTAATGTAGCTGCATAAAGACAATTTAAAATTAGTACACAAAAGTTCAATGTCCTTTGAGTAGTATATACTTCCTAGCAAGGAAAATGGATTAACGTAGAATCCTCTAAAGCGTAACAAATGGAAAATATTTTCTGAGCTTTTTTGTTTTCTTATATTTTTGAAGATCTCTTTAATTGTGCTCACATCGCAGGAAGACAAAAATTGCAGCATGTGGCTGTCTACGTTCAGGTAGTTCAAATAATTTGCTGTTTTTATAAAAAGTGAGGGGAAATACCTTATGGAGAAAAGGTACATGATTCTGGGCACATGACTCATTGGGTAGACCAGACAAGAAAAAAAAAAGTAGGTGTACTTGCCCGTGCGCACAACATTCTGTACGTATTTTACCTTATGTATTTGTTTCTTCTGCACATGCTGATAAATCTTTTTATTTTTTTTTTTTATGTAATCGTTTTTTAACCTCAAGGTGAAGCTGTTTACATTGGGTCGAAATTCAAAATGGGAATTTTTGTTCAGGCTGTAATTTATTAGGGACTCTTCATACTTATCACCTTTGGCTACCTCCGCTGCTAGCGATTCGTCGTTCGCGTTGAAGAAGGTGTTGTCGTTGTAGATGCAAATGTGCGGTTCTGCATGCAAGCGTCTTCCCCAGGTGTTGCAGTTTTCTGCTAGCTTCCCTTTTCTCATCACTCCACTGAAGAGACGCCCATTTTTGTCACCGTTAATTATGCTTGGGTCTTTTTCCTCTGCCTTGTAAGAAGCATACACCCCAGATGAACCACCCATTATCGCCCCATCATACTCGTAGTGTTTATTATGAATGAGCAAAAAGGGGTCATACATGTTGAGGTTGCTATACCACTCGAATAAGCGCCTGTAAAATGGTGCCCCACAAATATCCCTATCATCCAATTGGCTCAAACAGCTACTCAGCTTACTAAACACGTTCGCAAATATTCTATAACACTCGTTTACGATGATGGCATTACTGCGACTACGTTGTGATTGTTTAAAAAAGGATGTGCATCTGTTAACATCACAAGACTCTTTTTTTTCCATAGCTATATTGAGTTGAATTTGATTTTTTTTAAAAAATTTTTTAAGATCATGATATGTTTTGTTTTTTCTCAATTGGTGGAGGGGATACATGGAATCGGTTTTGTACGAGTCGACATCTGTTGAGAGGTAGAGGAATTCGTCTTCCCCTGTGGGGGCGTCCTTTGGGTCGTTTTCGTGGGGGTCTCTTCGGCCGTGATCTGTTTCGCGGGGGTGATTGTTCCCCCCTTGTGGGTGCACCTGTGGGGCGTCGCCCCCATTCGAAACATTCATGTTGAGTTTGACCAAAATGTCGTGAACGAAGTCACATAGCTCCTCTTTTAAATCCTCCTTGGGGAACATCTCAGCCAATCGCTTCTCCAGGTAGCTAATAAGGTACCCATCTAAGGGGACAGTACACAAGAGGTAGTTCAAATTTGTAAACAATTTAGAATGAATCGAGCTGATGGAATCTATCGCTTCTACAACGTTTTCTTTATTGTGAGCACTTGGCATTTCAAGGGTAACTATCGATTTGATTGGGTCTTCTTTGGGTAGAATGCTATATGGCAATTTGTTTATCATTGAATCCATTTGGTGAATCGTTGATGTTAAGACGTTGCTCTTTGTGTATAACTTTTTGTGTGCGCTGTATTTTACTATTTTGGGGAGGGGGTGTGCAGAGGAGGAAGTTTTCTTTGTTACTTTTTTCCTCCCTTTTTTGGTTTGCTGTGCACGCGGTGGAGCGAGGGGCAGCGAGCACAAACTTCCATTCGTTATGCCGTTCTTGGTGCCATACGTTATGCCGTTCGTGGTGCCATACGTTGTGCCGCTCGAGGACCCATTCGCAGTGCCGCCCCTGATACCGTTTCTCATTTTGTAAAATTTCCTCTCAATTTTCTCCTCCAAGTTGGCATGAAAACGGTCCACATTTTTGATCAAAATGAGTTGCCTATTGTTGTTGATAAAATTGTCGAGAATGATGGAGTAGGCGATCGTCTGCAGCGGGGTTATCACTTCGGAAGTTCGTCTCACCTGAGGTCCTCTCCACTTTCGCTTATATTCTCTTGAAGGATTTTCTCCATTACGGTTGCAGATTTGCCCAATCTGTGCCGGTGGAACATGTCTACCCCCCTGCCATACGTCATTAATAACTGTTTCATTTGCTAGATTGAAGAAAATGATTTTATTAAAGAGGAGCTCATTTGTATTCGAAACGGGGCATCGCAAGCGCTTCGCAAATTTTGTGTAACTTTGAGAGAGGTCTACCAACTTGAGCCATTTCGTGCCGTCAACAGATTCCCATTTTTTGTTCCTCTGCAGGGGCAATGTGGATTGAAATTGCTCTTCACACCAGATGGAGGTGCTATTCGATTTTTCTCCATCTGGGGGAGGACAATTTTGCAAAATATTTTTTTTTTCACCAAAATGAGAGGGACTGTTGCAGGAACAGGGGTCACAGATGGAGACGAATATGCCTCCCTCGGATCCCAAAAATGTGTTCCTGCTTCCACGAAGAATAAACTTAAACAGTTGGACATAATTTATAATTTTATTCTTCATGATGACTGAATTTTTATTCGATTTTTTGTTCCTTCTTAAGAGGCCAGGTAGGAAAGAATAGAGTACCCGTCTTGCTAAATAATTATTGGTGTATAATTCGCTCCGTGATAAAAGGTTCTTTTTGAACAAGTTGGTGCAGTAACTTAGGTAGTAAAGGAGAAATACATCTCGGGGATGTGTGATTATTCTCCTCATTTTTTTTAAATATTTAAAAAGCTTAACGATATGATAGGATGCTGTGTCAGGTTCTATGTCGTAGCAAGTGCTCTGAAAAATGCGGGACCCTGCATCTTCATTCTGTGACCACTCCAACTGGTTGCACGCCTGCCCTTGCACATCCACCATCACTTTATACTTTAAAATGTCGCACAGCTGTGTGTTATTTAGAACACGGTAATTTTTCCTCATGACGAAATCGATGCAGTCGTGTATCACGTCCGATCTGTCATGGTGGAGGAAGTAGACGCTGCTGTCTTTGGTCCAGTTGGATGCAGCCCTGTTGTCACAGAAGAGGTAGGGTACTCTCGTTTTTTCCTGTTGCATATTTAGTGTTAGGGTTAGGTATTTGGAAATAATGCGATGTGCGTTTCTGCGCCGTTTGGGTGAGCAAATAATAGGGTAATTCCCTCCTCTGTTGGCTCCTTTACTTGTTCGTATATGCAATCCTTCATGGGAGGGACTTACGGACAACACCGTCACGACATCGCCCATGCTAGACAAGCCACATCTGTCAATCGCTTCGTAGTACTGGTCGAGAAAAGGGGCATAGTTTTTTCTTACCAGCCTCAAGGTGCCCTCAAAGCTGAGGCTAAAAAAGTTCACATGCCTAACTGTTATGTGAAACAGCGTTTTCCGTGTAGGAGGGAAAAGATACGAATGAATATAATCATTAAACATGTAGCTATTCCTAATGCTATTATGTAGTGCATTTCGTGCCTGTCTCATTTTTCTCTTCAGCGTCCTTTTAACCATCTCAAGGTTGAAGACATTCTTCAGCATATTATTGAGGTATTCATAATAACCGCCATAAAACAAGTTAGACAAATGAGCAAAATATTCATTTTTTTTACTAACTTCTGCACTGTCTGGTTTCTTCCTATAATATATAAGGGTACAATTGTTAACAGAAAATGCACCTGGAGTAAATTTGAATTGGTAAGGAATTTTACACTTCACTCCATATACGGCACTAAGGAGCTCAAAGACGAAGAATAATTTTTTTATATTATGAGAAATTTTTTTTTTTTTTTTTCTGTACTTGTTTCTGAAAAAACAATTAAACTGTTCTGCAGGCATGTATTCCTTACGCTTCATGATGAGGAGAAAATAATCCACCATGTTTATAATTTGAGTGAAACATTTGAAGAATTCATTCATGGTATGTTTTATCTGGTAATATAAAAAGAGAATGTGGTACACGTTCCATGTACAGGTGACAAATACGTTTAGCGTATCTACCATGAAGTGGAAGTCGGGCAGAAGATGCAAAATGGTGTTGTACTCGTACATGACGTAGCGGAAGAAAACAATTTCATATCTCTTTGAATGTATTAAATGTCTTTGTTTAATTATTTGTAACTTAGCATCTGTCACCCCTGTTGCGTCCTCTCCACCCATATCATTGCTCTGTTTTTTCAGAGCGCGGTAGAGCTTTTTTTCCCTCCGCGCAAGGCTATTCGCTCTTATGAAGTGCTCCACCGTTTCGTCGTTGAAGTTTACAAAATGGTCTTCGTCCTTCCCATCATGCTTCGCGCTGGGGCGGCTATCCATATCGATACCATCCCCTATGCCTGCCTGACCACTTGCGTCTTTTTCTCCCCCCTTAGCTGCGTCCCCCCTGAAGAGATCCTCGTCTACATTTGACATGAAGCTCCCGGATGGGTTCTTCCCCCAATGGGAGTACTCACGTGTACCTTGCCCTCCCCAACATGATACCATTTTGAGCAGAGCAAACCATTCGGAAGATTCTGCACGGAGTACATTGTGTGCTTCTGCCTCGTGGGGGGATAGCCCACACTCGACCATCATCCTACCCATGGCGTTATAAAAAAGTATCTTCTTCATGTCGAAATTAAAATGGTCTACATGTTGAGGGCAGTAGCTTAAGCAAAGGGTTCGGAATAGCCTCTCTTTCAATTGATTCACTTTTCTCTCAAGAGGGGACACCCTTCTTGGGGGGGCATCTAACAACCCCTTGCAACAATACGGGTTCTGATATACAACCAACTCGCTTAAATCAACAACTGTTTTTTCTTTATGCCTACTTCTGTTCTTACCTGAACATGAAACATTTTGCAGAACCGTAAAAATATAAATGGGTGGCACGAGGTACTTATTGACTTTTAAATATTTTGGTTTACGACTCAGATTTTCTTGTTTGCTAATACGTTTTCTCTTCACATTTCCTGTGCTACCCTTGCGTGCAATGGGACGAGAACAGTTAGCTTGTGCCGCGATGTGAGACATGTACTGTTCTTCGTCGTCTGTCTCGTCTGAAGAACTACCTGCACGGCTAAGATTGCCCTGCAGCAGAGAGTCCAAGGTGGTGTCATCAGAAGAAAACCTTCTGTAGTTGAAAAACAATTTCATAATGCTGGGGATGGGCACAAAATAAAAATTGCTTTTCTGGGTGGACGCCTTAAAGTGTATTCTCCTAATAAGCACGTTGGGGTGTCTTTTCATTTTGGTTTTCCTTCCCTTCTGGCACGTCGCCCTTTCCATGGGGGCCTCCTCAAAAATGATCTCTCTGTGACATGCGACATAGGCACTGTCACAGTCGCTATCATCCTGAGATAAAAAACGTTCCAGTTCCTTCTCGCCAAGACCAGTTGCCCCTTCATCGCTGCTGCGGAGAAAAGACTCCTCGTCGGACACGTAGGTGAAGATGTCACTGTAGTGGTCATATGGGTAGTCGGCGTGGTTCTCTCCCATGGGGTCACCCATTAACTCTTCATCTATTAAACTTTCACCCACTAAGCTTCCATCCCCGAGCGGGGGGACCTCTTCCTCGCAGATGATTCCACCACGCTTTGCCCTTTTAGATTCTAGACCCCTTTTCGTGGAGTCCAGTTCCCCCAAGGGTGAGAATAACTTTCGCTTTCTTCTATCGGGTGGATTTGCTGAACTGATTGGCTGCTCTGTTTTGTCCGTTTTGTTCATAGCCCTTTTGCCTTCCCTTTCCCTACGGCACGTCCTTTTGAGTGCCGCTTTGACTTCGCTGTGGAGGGCCTTATCATCCAGGGGGGGTTCCCCCGCAGGTACGTCTCGGCCGTCCCACTTCTTTACCTGCTTAGTTCGGTGCTTCCCCCTACGGTGAGGGCGCTCTTGTAGGTCTGCCCCATTGTAGAGGTGCACCCCCTGCTGCAGGTGGCACTGGTAGTGGTTGGCTCGGTGGAAGCTCTCATATTTGTCCGGAACAAACATATTCTGAAAATTGAAAAAGTCTGAGTTCAGCATGGGGTAGTAAAACTTGCAGGCAGTCAACACACAAGCAGCTGCGATGCTATAAAACTTCTTCTTCTCCACGGAAAGGGAAAACCTCAAGGTAATAAAAAAGGTACAGATAAATTTTTGACGATAAAAGTAGTTCAATTTATTATAAACCTTATAATTGAGCTGTCCACTTTTCTTATGAATATATTTTTTTTTTTTTAAAATTTTTTTTTTAAGATAAAGCTCTTTTTTCATTAAATACAGAATGTATTTGTTAATTTCCTTTTCAGAGAACAGACACCTGTTTCTCTTCCGATAGAACATTTTGAAATCTCTAAGGATATGTTTGAATGAGTAAAAATTATTTAATTCATTATGCATATCGTCGTACTGATTGCTGTATACATTGAACAGGAATTTAAAAAATCTGTATTTGAAGATAATCATGTGAAGAAGCTTCATGGAATATATTTGCACGACATTAGGCAACTGAAATTTAAATACCAAGTCGTTGATTTGTCCATACAGATCTGTTATCAGAGTAGAGTTAAAGAGTTGAACATCCTTCACCCATTCGGCATTTCTAAACTTAGATAATAATTTATTGGCCATATTTAAATTTTTCCCATTTTTAAAGTATGTAATGGTGTGTAATTTATTTTTTGGGGGGCTTGCCTTAAGTTGGTATTCTTCTTCGTGTGTGAAATGTTTACTGGTGTGTTCATAATTATGCATGCATAAAAAGGGTACGCCATTTTTCAAATTTCTTAAAAAGAACGATTTTTTTATTTCAGAAAAATTTGTATTTTTTAAAGGGAAGGAAAAGAGAGAAGATTCATCCTTGTAAATTTTTTGTAGCAATTCAGGAACGTTATTAAAAACACGATAAAGATTGAAGATGTCCAAATTTATGTAGTTGGTGAGGTTGTGAGGCAGACACTGAATCTGCAACCTCTTCATGGAGTAGTACAGTAGGTAGAGGAGTAAGTCGAAGGAGAAGTTGTAGCAAAATTTGTAAGCTTCCTCGTCAATCAAATATTCTTTATAATCCTTTAGGAAAAAATTAATGTATTCTCCATAAACATGTTTTATCGTTATGGTTCTGAATCTATTTAGGTTTGAAATGTACAAGAAGTTTTCGTAAAGGCCATCAAAAATGTAAGAATCTATGAGGTATTTGTCAGGGATATATAACATTTTTTCATTTTCTGATTTAAAATTTTCTTCCTTTATTTGTTTTAATATACACTCCTTCACAAACAGATCAATTTTGCTATAATTTTTCTGTGTCTTCTTCAGCCCGTTGTCGTAGTAGTGCTTTTCTATTGTTATGTTTTTTTCCCTTTTGATATTATTTACGTGTTCCAGTTTCTTATACACCGTGTGTATGCTTGTGACGAGAGAGGCATTACTGGGGCCGCGCTTAACATGACCTATGTCTGACTTCTTCCTCCCCACTGCTGTCTCCATTTGGAGGAGAAGCGCACTTGCCTTGCTTCCACCCGAGGAAGGCACACCACTCCGGGATGGTGATACACCTTTTACGTCATACACTGGTGCAGCATCGCTTATTTCGTTTATGAGCGGGGACAGGTTGCCAAGCAGGTCTGTATCCTCTTCCCTTTCCTCTGGTCTATCTATAGCATTTTTACCCTCCTGAGCACCTCCCCCTTTTTTTTTGGTCTCTTTTTTCTGCTCATTTGTTGTTTCCATCCTTTCATCATCTGATAGAGTCCCAATGAGCACAGTGCGCTCGTTGCGCAGGACAGGCTTCCCGCTCGCTTTCAACAGTTCAATGTACTTTTGATAATTGTTCATAATTTTTTCTACATCCTCAGAGGAACGCTGGTGTTTCTTATTCGTTGCGGTTTCTTTTTTCAGCTGGTCATTTTTCAGCTCATCATTTTTCAGCTCATCATTTTTCAGCTCATCATTTTTCAGCATTTCGAGGAGGGCATTATGTTCGCTTCCCTCCTCCAACCCTTCTTCATATAACCCTTCAAGATGGTTGAACCCAAATTGGTCACCTGCTTCCACCTTACCGCCACTACTATCTGCATCATTGGGGCCATGGAACTCGGAGACCTCTCCTCCTAGGCTTACATTGTCCCTCAGAGACTCAACAATGGAGGACTGTTCTTCATCGCTATTTTGTAGCGGCGTTTTTTCGCGTTGGTCACCAGTTAACGGAACATCTAGAAACGACTGTTCCATTTTGAGCTCCTCGTGAAGGGGCGTCTCGTTCATTTCTAAACCGAAGCTATCACCTGATTCATCGTGCACTTGGGCAAGCTCGTCCAAGTGACTCTCCTGCTGGACGTGGTTCTCCTGGGCGCAGACGTCCTCCTTTGGGGGACTACCCTCACTCGTACCCCTCTCACTCGTACCCCTCTCACTCGTTCCCCTCTCACTGGTGGGGATGTATGGACCGGTGGGCAGCCCCAAGGAGGGGGGTAACAAATAATCATATTCCCCTTTGAATACTTGTATTATGTCGTAGAAGGACAAAAATTCAATGTCGCATTTTTTCCTCAATTCCTCATGGAAGTAATATAAAAAATCATGCTGGTATATTAAATCTATTACATTAGTGTGGTTAATTGATCTGTTCATATAATTTGTGGAGACATTGGAGTCGACTGGTCTGAACAATTTTTTATTTTTAAGTAACTGATTGATTATGAAAGAGGAGTGGAAGTGGTACACTCGTTCGGCTTGTGTGTAATTTTCATCTTGGGTGAAGTTTTCTGCATTTTTTGGGCCTTGGGTGTCTTGAGGGGTAGGGGGCCGGTCATTGCTGTCTAGCTGCCCCAAGGGGTCCACCTGGTCAATCTCGTCAAGGTGCCCAAACTGGTCAAACTCGGCCAAGTCCCCCAGGTTGAAAAGTTCATCCCCATCATCATCCCTCTCATATGCGTCGAAATGTTCGTAATTGTCGTTTAAACTTTTTGGCCTGGATGTTGCTTCCATGAGCTGATGATCAGAAAGCATGCCTTCCTCCCTCTTCCCGTGAGACGCATATCCTCCCCCTGCATGTGCACTGACATTTGAAATGGCAAAATTTTGATCTCCGTCCTGGTCAGGCTCTTCCTCCTGATTGTCCAACTTGGACTTTCGAATGTTATGAATTATTTCATTAATTTTTAAAAAGTCTTCCTTGTTTTTTTTTTCACTTTCCAATAGGGCAGTCTGTTTGTACAGATTTAACAATTTAAATTCTGACCTCCTATGGACTTCACTTTTTTTGGGGAGGAATTCCAGTGACTTACTCGTTTCGTTAATAATTTTCTTTTGTATGATGAAGAAGTAGGATAACTTACTGAGTCCAATTTTTTTAATTACATTTTTCATCACATGAATGACATTTCCCTTGTTCAAAATGTCCATAACAATATCTTTCAGTTTTTGTGCACGGATGACTTCGAAGACAGATTTAACTGAACCCTTCGCATCCCCCATAGGGACATACACATTTGTATTCATTATATTAACCTTTAATAAGTAGAACCAAATTTTTTTCACTTCATCATATAGGAGAGGAGGCAAATGATGTTCCGCCACAAAGACATACATAACGTTTAGTAGCACTTTTTGGTACTTTAAAAAGAATTCATCGTTTTCTTTAAAAACGTAATTTTTAATTTTGTTTACCAACTTATCATTCTTGTAGAGCTTTTTAAGAATTTCATAAAAGTCTTTCTCGAGATATTCTTTATCTACATGATCATCTAATTGGCGTTCTTCATAATCATCTTCGAATTGCTCCTGTTGAATTTCGCTTACGTAGTTACACTGGTTGCACACCACCTGGGCCTCTTCTATGCGGAAGCTCGTCGAGCCACATATTATACACTTGGCTTTTTCCATTTTGTTTTCCCGCCCATGTAGGTGGTCCACTTAGACGTGCGGGTTAAATTACATACACATATATACACATACATATGTATACATTTATGCGGCGGTGGGGGCAGTATTCCCTCTGCTATATGAACACGATGGCGCACACCACTTCTTCTATTGCTGCACCTTTTTAGGGCCAACCCTACTCGCTCTTCTCTAATTTATCTCCACACAGTATGAACAGGGATGTACACAAATGGGGCATGCTATTCTCCACAGTGTTGGCGATGAGCGAGTCCTCCGTGGTTCACACAAAATGGGACATGGGGGATCGACAACGTCCCCGCGCGCAAGAGTCACACGTGGCTTTATATACATATGCGCACAGCTTGACGACTTGAAGACTTTTTACACCCAAATGGGTTGTAAGTGTATAAACTGGGGGCATGGCAAAGGGCCAACTGCTCATTCTCCTCTCCCCCGATTTGTATTTTCCCAGCACCAGTGAAGTAGCACCATGGAAGCAGCACCAGAGGAGCGGAACGAAACTCAACGTAGAATTTCCCCCTCCGTGTGGATGCTACCCCCGTGTGTACCTCTCTACTATTCTGACTGCCAAGGCAAAAGGGACGAAGTCGCAGATTGTAGGATTTCCATTTGCCCTCTCTCGAGTGTTGCAAAATTGCGTAAATGTGAAAAAAATAAAAAAAAAATGAAAAGATGCAAATAAAATGAATACTTTTTTTTCTTTTTTTTTTGTTTTATTTTTTTTGCAAACTTCCCCCGTGGGGTTAAATGGCACATCTAGTTGTGTAAAAAATGGGGGAAAAAAGAAAACGAAGCCGGGAATTAACTCGAGCTTGTAGCAGAATATTGCGACGCACATTGTCAACTCCGGGGGCAGCACAGCCCAAAAAAGGGTTCGCACATGGGGCAGGCGTTTCAATGGGCTCTCATTTGCTCAACGGGTTGCATCAATCCAAAATTGATCACAAGAACAGCCGCACAACAAAAAAAAAAAAAAAAAAACAGAATACAACCCATGTGGGGTATATTGTTCGCTTAGTGTAGAACACCCCAGGGAGGGCAACTTCAAAAGCGCTAGCGTTTTGTGTGCACGCGGCAGTCGCCTATATCGGTTAAGTATTTTTTTGTGTGTGTCATACGATTATACTCTACGCCGATTTGTAATTCGTTGGCGAAAAGTGACTTAATAGAAAAGACGACTAAATCTCAATGGGGGAGAGAAGCCAGGTTGAAGTTGTGGAAATTTCTTACATGTCATTTGCGCAAAAATGTAATGTGAATATGCATCACGCACAGAGTGGGGAGAAATGAACTCACCACGTAACAAATTGGGAAATCAAATGGTCGCTTATACATGTGACAAGTACCCATTTAAAATTAACATATAACACACGTCTACAACGCGAAAAAGAAAGGTTCAAAAAAAGAGTTTAAAAAGGTTTAAAAAATATTAAAAAAAATTATGAACAAATGTGAAGCATATATATATGGCCAACCTTGACAAACAAATTGAATTCATCATTCTGCGTCCAGAGGGGTACTCACGAATAGGCGGACCAACAATTCACACGGCCACCAAATCGTGATTACAAAAGGGACACTGATTAAAAACGAAGTGCTCCGCGAAGAAGCTATTCTTGGTGGTAATAAACAAATGGCAAAAGGAGCAAAAGTACGCACAGTCCAATTTCACGCGGAGATTAAATTGTAAAGTACTGATGGGCTCCTCAAAAAGTGATTTACTTAAATCATGAGACAGGTAAACACTCGGGATGATCAGGCTACTCTTGCCAATACAACATAGAGTAACCATGCATTTGTTAAAAATGTGCTTCTGTTCACATATATAATAATGATTATACAAATTTGAAACACACACCTTTCCACAAAGAATGCAGTTTATTTTAAAATAAATTCGTTCAACCACATAGTGGTCATCCTTTAGTCCATTCGTAATCCTTTTTATAAAATTGTGTATCAGCACTTGGTGTCTTTCAAACGTGTCCTGATCTACTTCAATACCTTCCATTTGTGCAGTGTTTGCTTTGCCTTCACTTGGAATAGTTTCTCTTTGAATAATATGATTGAACAATTTGTGCACATCTTCTTCTGCGTCTCCAGTGAGGGAGTTCTGAACGCCCCCGCAGCCATGCGACATCAACATGTTGTGGAGGCCATACATATTGAGCAGTATGAGGAGGTAGAAGTAGTCCATGTTATTTTTTCTCAAATCGTAATTTATATTCACAAATAAGTTTGTATTATTTATTCGTAATGTGTTAAGCATGATGTAAAGGACTTGGCACAGATACAAATTTGTGTACACGTGGGGTAGGGTGACCCCCCATCCAGCTTCTTCACTGCTGTCGCCGCCTCTAAATATGGAGTGCAAATATTTTTTTGCCTTGCTTATGTAGTACAGGCACTTGCGCAGGGTGCGTAGGTTCGCCTGGGGAGTTTCCTGCGGGGTGTCCTGCAGTTTCGGCTGCAGTTTTGTCCCGGGGCTCATCTGCAGGTCTTCTTCTTTTTGTTCCGCCAGGTGATCCGCATTCGCAGCTGCACCCGCAACGGCACCCGCAACTGGACCATTATCAGGATGCACGTTTTTGCCGCCCTCTTGGCGCGGCTCCGGCCTGTACACGTACCTGAAGCGCTTCCTATTCCTGCGCGTCTTTTTGTTAATGAGGAAATAGGTAATGTGCGAGCTGAAGGAGTCGGCACTGATGCCATGTTGCTTCAAGCAAAAATTATACATGTGAATGAAGAAGGAAAACAGAACAGAGAAGTGAGTCCTTATGTCTAGGATGGGATCCAACTGAAGTGATAACGTCTCCCTGCCCACTGCATTGGTGCTATTGGCACCACCAGGGTAAATATTTTTATCAAACAGTTCATTAAATATTAGGTGAAAAAAGGAGTTCCCCTCGCTAACGTAGTTTGCTTGAAAATGAGTTAATAATTGGAGGAAGTGATAAAAATTCATTTTAATCTTCCTAATTTTTTCGCAGGATGAGGAGTTAGGGACACACCCAACAAGGGTATCATAGGATAGGTAGTCCTTTATTATATTGAGGAAATTAAAATGGCTGTGTGCATCGTACACGTTCATTGTGTTCGCGGCGTGTTTCCTTTTGTCCCTTTCGTTCACACTGGGGTCAGGGTTGCTGCTAGGGTTGTCGTTAACATTTACGCTCACATTGCCGCTGCTATTATGTTGACTTATTAAAAATAAATCATAAAAGCCGAAAAGGATATATTTGTACTCCCAAAAGTGCGTCTTGTGTTCCCTGTGTGTGAATAAATTTCCATTGAGTGTTTCCCCTCCTGTGAAGAAGTTAGTTCGCTCATCTGTTGCATCGCTGATTCGGCAATTGCTCTTTCTTCTCTCTTCAAGGACACCTACTTGATCGTTGGACGTTAGATCCCCCTCGCTAGGAATTTTCCCTTGGGAACTCCTCGCCCGCTCTATCACTGCGCGAATCTTCCGCAGCAACTTACAAACGGACTTTACATACGTGACAACTAAGCACTGATCATTTACGCATAGACTGACATTCTCATATTGCTTCTCTTGGAAGTAAATAAAAAATATGCTTTTAAAAAAACTGGTTTGTGTATTGTACAAGGTTACACTGTTGTCGTTTTTCTTCTTCTTCTTCTTGAGCACTTCTTCATTAAATGGGAAGAGGATCGGAATGAAGAATTGCTTCTTGCACAGGAGTTCCCCTTTGGGCATTTCATTTTTGGTGAGAAAGAACTCCAGGTGCTGTTCCTTCGCGGTGCACACAAAGTTGTACCTACTGACGTCCCCATTTTGAAAATAGCACAATAGCTCAAACAATGAGCAGCTTCTATTTGGTTGTTTCATATGATGAGGATGCATACGGTTGCTGGTGTGTCCCCTTGGAACAGTTTTCTTCTCCCTCTCATCGGCCTTTTCAAAATGGTGCTTATTGACTAGCACCCCCTGGATGACGTCGTTTGGGTTGTTGCTATTCGTGCAGGAATAATTTACCAATTCAATATCTCCTCCTTTTTTCTTCCTCCTCAAGGTCATGATGAACAAGTCACACTTGCTCGTTATTATCATGAAGAGGTGTTTGTGTTTTTCCATTTGGATGGATCCACTCGTAGGCTCCTGTCCATCCGATCTGGTTTGTGAACAAATTATATTCCCTCGCGCTTCATCAACGTTGTCACGTTGGTGTTGCGTAACCGTATCTTCCTCTACCCCATGGCACATTTCGGAATTGCTTTTGGACGCACACTGCTCCCCTTGTGCGTTGTTCCTCTTTCGATTAACGCCCTTCTTCTTCGTCTTCCTTGCGCGGGTTTGTGGTTCCCCTCCGCAGAGAGCGCGCAGGAAGTCAGAGCTGCACTTGACAACTTTGATGGTATGGTAGGTGTCCTTCCTCTTTAACTCAAAATGGTAATATTTGCACACGTGCAATTGGAACGAATCTTCACAAGCGTTATTTGTGACCACAAAAGAGCACATAAAAATGTAAATGACCCCTCCATTAGATAAACAGTACACGCTGAAGGAGTAGCTTCCTGTGGAAGAAGCAGGACACCTCTTTAGTTTGGTCAAATGAATATCTGCTATGTAATCATTTGGGGGGAAACTCACAAAACTAATAAGACTCAAAATTTTACATTTTAATTGGTCATACAAATTATGTACAAAAAAAGTATTTCTTTTGAATACATTTTTGTCTGTCTCGTTCAGGTTAAATTGTTTGTTTTGCATTTCCATTTCGTCCAAGTTTGGAACGGCTCCCTCCTCGTTCACACAAAAATGTTTCTCATCCTTTGGGGGGGGACTATAATTAAATAGCATCAACACGAAGATATGATTTTTTACGTATTTTATGCACAAATTAAATGTGAAAATTTTTTTCTTTTTTTTGCCTTCTCCGGAAACAATGTACGCCATAGGGGCATTTTTAAAGAAGAAATAATTGGAGTAGTGAACGGAAGAAAATTTGATATTCTGGTACACAACCCTCTTCACATGAATGGGCTGTTCCTTCAGATATATCTCTCTTTCCGTGCCGACATGCTCAACAAAACTTTGTCCATCGGATCCTTTATCCTTCACCTCGTGTACAGTTACGTCTACATTATCGTTGTGGCATTTTTTAAAAAAATTTTTAAAATTAAAAATTTCAAAAATTAAATTAAACTTGCTACTTTTCACGTAGCCAAAGAGGAGATCATTCTGTCGGTTCGTCTGCACGAAGATGTAATCGTTTGGGTTGACTTCCGGGATGTAGTCCACGTAGTCCTGGACCTTCTGGGCGACCTCCCTGTTCACCGTCAGGAGGAGCTTTTTGACGAGTTGCACTTTTTTGAACCTAACAAGTCATAAAAAAAGGGGAAAAGGAAATGGGTGAACAAATGGTGAAGTGCCACGTGCGACATGTGGACACGTTTGGTGAGGACTCATAACGTGGCAAAAAAGAAAAAAAAAAAAAAAAAAAAAAAGAGCAAAGCAGAACAGATAGACAACACTCCAATGCGGGGTTGCACCGTGTGCGTCGCTTTTTTTTTTTTTTTTTTTTTTTTTCGTGCTCATCCAATCTTACACTTCTATGTGTTCCACTTTTTGAATGGCTTCCAAAATGAACTCCTGCCGAGTGGCGTACTGCATACATTGGTTTGCGTGTAATGAGAGGTCCTTCCCCGCGTTGCACTCTGGGGACCCCCTCTTCACGTAATTTAAATAATCCGATATGTTAACACTCATGTGGGAATATACATTAACGTACACATGGGGGTAGAACAGTGAACTTATGTCAAACAGGTGAAAGTAGTTGCTACTCTGGAGTAAAAGTTCCTTCTCGTTTAACATTAAGTTTGTTTGGTTAAAGTCAAAGTAAGTGTTTCCTTTTTTCGTTAAATATTTTTTATATCTTAGCAGGGTAGAAAATATGATACATTTATTTTGTTCATTTTTAGTCCATTTGTTTTCTCCTCCCTTGGAGGTATGTCTTTTCATTGCGCTATCCATGCCACTTGCTTCCTTGGCTTGGTGACCACTCCCATTCAGGTTGTCACATTTTTCCCGTTTGATTAAACTTTCATAGGGTTCAGTGTCAAACGGGGGAATCGTTGGGTTTCCTTCGAGTGGACCTTCTTCCATTGTGTCTTCAGAGAGAAAAGGGGAGGGGGTCCAACACTATTATATATTTGTATTCAAAGAATCAGTGCCAGGCTTACATACTGGAGTGTCATTTACTGCTGCACCTAGTTGTGCTTCTCCGCCACTGCAAAACCCCTTTGCCTCCTCATCACAAGGGCGGGGGATTAAATATGTTGTTATAAGCAGGCTGTGTAAACATATATAAGAATGCTGGGGGGCGGGAGAGGTTCTTGCAAGGCACATGCAAAATGCTCTTCCTCTTGAACGTTTGTTTGGGACAAATGGGGTCGCCACAAAATGGAGACATGACGACTGAGCAATGGAGCAGCACGGGAATGAGTTACGAAGGGGGATAACAAAAGCGGGTTATCCTCTCACCGTGTGTGCGCACCTTGGGGCGACTTGCACACTGCATCGTTTCAAATATGGTTGCCTAACCTCGTGCCATAAGACGGGGGGAAAAAAAAAAGTCTCAAGCGAAGAAACGCACAGCATAGAGAAGCGGCTAGACGATCGAATACAGAAGCCCTTTTGGAGGCGCGAACAAGCAACCCCTTTGACGCTGCGCCAGACGATATATAGTCTTGTGTGGGGAAGCCGCGTTGTCGCCGCCCCTCCCTATGCCTGCAGCGTGACACAAAGGGGCAGAGCTCAACGGAGTATAAACCGATATGGCCCGTTGTTAACAGCTCCGCTAGGCACACAGAAAAGATAGCCAAGACAAACACACAAAATGGGGGAGAGTTAGGATGATCATCAGGCGAAATACATACGTCACACTAGATGGTATAATGGCAACTCAATTGGGGGGAACAAATTGGGAGGGTCCGGAAAAAAAATAAAGTCCCTATAGCATGTTTTTTCCCTCAACTTGTGTAGGTTTTACCCCTGTCAGGTGTATAAAAGTGACCCCCAAATTTTAGCCACAGTATTTTTTTTTTTTTTTTTTTTTTTTTTTTTTTTTTTTTTGCATTAAGTTGAAAAGGTTGTCACTAAAGGCCCCCACCCAGTTGTGCGCACACGGTTAGCGCCTTCAAAAATTGCGTGCAGAGTTTTGTTTGCGCGGGTCCCTGTTGCTTGGGACCACCCCCCAGGGTGCAAAGGAGCCCAGTCAAGTCACCTTTGGGTAAGGCCTTGCAAAAAAAAAAAAAAAAAAA